GATTTAGTATTGTGTGACCACTGGTTGATCTTCATCTTGACAACACCCCAGATATAGTAATCCAGGGGATTCAAATTAGAAAAGATAGGAAACCACATTTTGGATGATTATGAAACCTTTGGACCAGCCATGCCAGGGTCATATGTGCCATGTAAGTCCTGCTGGAAGACATACAGCCACACATTTGATCCAGGTCTTGACTACCTTTATGTAAGCAATGTCATTGATCCTGATTTTTCATAGGGTGGCATAATATGGCCCTTATTAATCACAAACCGCCAGGACATCATAAATTACATCATCTTAGCATGCATCACTGTATTTCTATAGGGTTCAAGGATGGCATTATTTACTTAAAGCCAAATCATAGTACAATTCACACCCAGAAATATTGTTTCAATGTAAGCAAAGATTTTTGGTTTCAGTTTGCAGTGGTTTACTGTTGTAGTCGACTAAGAAATTCAAAGAAAAAAGTAGAGATTAAGAGCAAAATTAATGTTAATCCTCTTTATCTCGGTATATTTTACTTTACTAAGGTTTTATTACAATTTATATAATTTGGCAAAGCCTTGGGACCATCACTTCTCACCCAATTAACAAGGGTGCATGAAATGTTATATGCATTTTAATCTTTGAATTGTTCTCTATTATCAATTATTTAAATTTATTGAGTTTTAATGAAGCAAAAACCAAATCTGAATTATGAATTCTGGAACAAAATAAACATTTTTATTTCATTGTTTAGAAATAAAGTAACTGGCAATGTTTAACCTATGTACATACAAAAATAAACAGTGTCAAAACAATGAATTTTTTTTTCTTTATAGCAATATTACCATATATTCCATCAACTTCACTGGCAATGTTTGAAAAAGTTATGTTTAGAATTTTAATAACAAAAATATTACATACTATTTAATTGTTAGATTGTTTATTTACAAGATTATAAAATGTATGTGAATATTCAAACTGATTAGCAATTAACCAATCCTTTACTAAGTACACAATTCATTGGCTTTGCCAGTTCCTTTGATCAAGTGTCCATTCTTCATTTAAGATTTCTTCATCAGTCACCACTGACAGTAGATAATCTATCTGCAGAGTTTCTAAGCATCCTTAATGCAAATTTTGAGGAAACATTTGAAAATTAAAACAAGAAGTATTCTGAGATTATTTTCAGAGTTCTTTATTTATAAAATGGTAAATAATATAAATTGTAGTTGGTTCATATATTTTTATAATCTTGTAAATACAAAATTAATTGTAAATAAACAATTTAACTCCCTAAATAGTGTGTAATGTTTTTGTTGCTATTAAAATTCTAAATATTGTTTTAAAACAAATATTGTTAGAGGAATATACAGTTGTGACGGTTACACACCTGGCCCAGTGTCGGATCCTTTGGTTACGGCGCCAACGGTGACGTCGCTCCTCCTGGTCGCTCCTCCTGGGTCCAAGCGTGCCGCCCAACCCTTTGGTCAGATGATCACCAGCCTCGCCTTTCCCGACTCGCTTCCAATACCTGGTCACTAAAGCAACTATACCGATCTCCGGTCTGTCTACCCACGCTGTGTTTAGATCTTAGACAGACGGGACCAGCAGGGATCGGGGCCGATACAAGTTGAGTCCGACGGGGTGGCAAAACACAAATAAAATAAAAACTCACGACACCAAACAAAATTGCTGATAAAAAGGGTAACAACCTTTTATATCTTAAAGTCCGTTACATAAAAACAAAATTGTTCTCAATTCCCGACCCGCTCTGTGGACTATGGCACCAAGCTTCTATCACACAATAGGAAAATGTCGAATTACCTACTTTCTAGAATCATGTATGTATGTCGGAGTGTGGTTCAGTTCGACACTGGGGCTAATTTCTATCGATCATTCGCAGTTGATTCTTCTCTCCGACTTGAGTTGTATTTCTTCTTCTTCTTCTACTTGGGCTGGAAGTTTTCTGTTTTGGGTGGGTTCTTGTTTTAGCCGCAACTCTCTGTCGTCTGAGGTGGTCTCTTCCGTCCGTCCGGGATGAACTTTAACTTCTCATCGACTTTCGGCTTGTCTGCAGCTCCAATTCTTCTCAGGCTTTCAGGCAATCTTCTTCTTCATCTACTTGGGCTGGAAGTTCTTCTTGTCTGAGGGTTCTTTGCCCGGGATGCAAAGGGGCGAAGTGAATCGGGCCTGATGGCCGCTTGCTCAGGCTCTATCCTGCCCGTCCGGGTCCAACTCTCAACTGCAACTCCAACTCAACTGATTTCTGTCGACGTGGGGTCCTGCTTTTTATTGGTCCCCTTTTAACAAACTGGGGTGGGTCTGTCGGCGTCAGGGTTTTCTCGATAATTCCAAAAACTGCATTAATTTGTCTTCTCCATTATCGCTATTGTTTTCGCCCCTACTTCCTCATAGTGCCTTTGGTGGGGAGGCGCATATCCATCTCTCTCGGTCTCTCGTATGTCAGGTGACCGCTTTTCAACCAATCGTTCCTGATCGAGCATTTCTTTCCCTTTTCTTCCGCAGGTCACGTGATCGTATTCGACCAATTGTTATTGATCAAACATTTCTTTCCCTTTTCTTCCGCAGGTCACGTGATCGTATTCGACCAATTGTTATTGATCGAACATCCTCTCCCTCTGTTTGCGGGCGTGGTTACATCGTTTTTGTTTAAAAAAAACAAAATCCAATTTTGCCTTTTTTGCACGTACGCAAAATGACAATCTTTGGCTTTCTCTCACCTGGACTTTGTTAAACAGCCCGCTGCTAATTAGTCTTGACTTTAGAAAGGATCTTTTTCCGCCTTCTTGGCGCCCTCTGTGAGCCAAAAGCAATTGTCCCTCTTTTTACCTCTTTTTTTTTTTCCTGATAGTCGAAAATCTTAATTATCCACTTTGAAAATGTCTCCACTTTATTAACGTGGGTGTCCAATTCTTAACAGGATATCTGTATATCGTTCCACCGGTCACTCCCCTCAACCCAAAGACACTTTTTCTCTGATTAAATTTTTCATTGTTTAAAAAATTTCTTTTATCAAATTGATTGTTCTACAAAGAAATTTCCCTTTGTCCAATGAGTCTTTTCATTCCCCGTTTTGAAATCAGGCCAAGTGCCCTGACCTTATTACATTCTTTATCAAAATGATTTTCGAAAATCGGCCAAGACGCTGACCTAAATCTCTTTCTGACTCCTATCTCCACCTCAATTGGGTCATGCATCATACATTTCTCTTTCTTTCTTTTTCTTTCCTTCCTTTTTTTTTCCTTTTTTTTTCCTTCTTCTTTCCTTAGGATCGTCTAGTACACTCTTAGTGAATTATTTTCAACTCAGTTATTTTCCGTTTTAAAAAAAAAATTAACAACCTGTTTAATAAACTGAGTAAGAAAAAATTAAATCATATTTCTAGGAATATTTCTAATAATGCAAGGTGCCACACAGTAAAAGCTGTGTCAAGAGAAAAGCCATCAATGACACACACCAATTTTTTTTTCCACGAGCACGACGTGCTTGTGGAACGTTTCTGACATCTTGTTTTCCAGTCAACTTTTATCTTTTTGTCTTAATTCCAGTTCTTTTATTTTTCTCTCTCCTTAATGTTTTCTTTTACTCATATTCTTTCATACTCACAGACTCAGTAACTCTTTGCATCATAGTGGCTTTATTGCCTTGCTTGGGAGGGAATGATTTAAAAAAAAAAAATTTAAATCTTATATTTACTTCAGTTGAATAAGCTAAAGTTATTCCAAATGCAAAAAGGAAAGATTTCTTAAGCCAAATACAAACTACTGCAAACTGAAACTAAAAACCTTTGTTCCCAGTGGAACAATGAGATTTAAAATAGGCCTCCAGTTCAGGGTGTGATTTGCACTAAGACTTTGCTTTTAGTAAAGAATGCTATGGCTTAAAGCAGTACCTCCTGTTCACTTGGTCACTTTCTAGAAATCACTGATTTATTATTTGTCTGCTTGTGCCAAAAATATGGGATGTCATTTCATTTTTGTTTTCAGACTGGAAGCTGCTCTTAATATTCTCATAATGTCTGAAAGAGAAGTGACAATGTTAAAATTTGGTACATTATTGTCTCTTTATGACCAACTAAAGGTGTGTCCTGAGACATCCTCTATGTGTGAGTCTGTTATATAGTCCACCATAAAACTATGGACAAACATAGTAATACAAGGTATAATAAACTTTGATTCAAATGATAGCACACCTTTTATGATATAACTGTGGAACTTATCTCCCAGTTTGTATATCAATTGTTGCACATCTCGATCACATTTGTGTAGAAACTGTCATATTTGTACAAAAAGATCATGAAACTGGTAAAAATGTAATAAACAAAATTACAGACCAACCTTGTTAGATAATTTTAATAAAGATTGTTTGAAAAAAAAAATATGTTATGTTATGTTATGTTATGTTATGTTATGTTATGTTATGTTATGTTATGTTATGTTATGTTATGTTATGTTATGTTATGTTATGTTATGTTATGTTATGTTATGTTATGTTATGTTATGTTATGTTATGTTATGTTATGTTATGTTATGTTATGTTATGTTATGTTATGTTATGTTATGTTATGTTATGTTATGTTATGTTATGTTATGTTATTTATGTTATGTTATGTTATGTTATGTTATGTTATGTTATGTTATGTTATGTTATGTTATGTTATGTTATGTTATGTTATGTTATGTTATGTTATGTTATGTTATGTTATGTTATGTTATGTTATAATGTTAATTTAGTTTCTAATGTAAAATTTAGAAAGAAAATTCTTCCATTCCAGAAAATAAAATTCATATAATTCTGGTTCTCCTACTGAATCCCTAAATTAGAAATTTTATGTAGATTATTCCTTATGCTTACATGTGACGTCAATTTAACATTTCATTTGATGACTATTTTCATGTTAGTAAAAATTAAATCCTGAACAAATTAATATATCATCTTTGTGATTTCAAGTATTATTTGATAATTTCTTATTTTTTTTACTTTTACAGTTTTATATGACTGACAAGCTCCCAAGCAATGAATTATCATTCACTAATTGTGCCATCTTCAGTGATAATGACAAAATTACTGAAAGATCCAGGTAGGGATCAGTTTTATTTTTATTACAAACTTGCTTATTTCACTTTTGATTGCAGCTCTTTTGTTACATTGCAATGATAACAAATAATAATTACTAAATTGAACCTAAATTTTCCAGTAAAACTAAAACTTACAGTAATGATGTATATACCAGGAATTGTTTAAAAAAGGAAATTTTGAGCTCAAGGACAAGGAATGCTCTTAAAGGTGTAAAAATTTAGAAACTGATGAATGTGATGAGCTTTTAAAAGAATTTACACATGAAGTCACAGAAAAATGCAGTTAGATTAACTTATTTACAAGCCTTAGAAAAATTCAGAAATTAAGAAAATGCTTTCTACATAAACTTAAAGAAACAAACATCAGTCAATATTTAAACACTTCCCATTCTTTTGATTGACAAAAGAAAAGTAAATTTTAAACAATTAGTGGTAAGGGAAAATGACATTATAATAAAAATCCAATAAGAAGAAAATCCTGGCTAGATACAAGTCAACCTTTTAACATCATAAAAATAACCGTCTCCTGCACTAGTAATTGGTGGAATTCAAATGGAATTCTTTTTCTTTTTTCTTTTTCTTTTTTCTTTTTTTTTTTGTTAGAATCTGAATAATCTGTTTCGGCACAATAATCAATTTTCTTGTTCGAATGATACATTGCAAAAGAAAAAAACCCTTTTCAAGTAAGAAAGTCAATTGGTGGTTTGGCAGCATGAGAACATAAAAATTGATTCTAAAATGCTAGAAATATTTGTGCTAGGCTAATATATACCTTTTCTTATATTTTCTGCATATGACACATCTGCTGTTTTAATTTTGTAAAAACAGGTAATGCTTTTTATAGATTTTGAAATGACAAATGTCTATATTTGTTAATTTTATTCCCTTTAGGCATGTCCTTGTTCGAAACCCTGTTGGGTTACAGTATGCTTTTACTGTTAAAGTCTGTAAGGAGATTGCCAAAGGAAAAGTGGGTTTCAATGCACTCCATGTAAGTCTTTATTCAGAGTATGTTTGATTTAATATTGAACTGAATAATCTTTGATTTTTGTTACTCAGTTATGAAAATTTGTTAAAGAGAAATTTCTTACCAACTTATTTCTTTTTGTAGCTTATTTTTATATTTACTTTCTATTTGCAGTAGAATCAATATTTTTAATCAGTATTATTAATAATAATAATTATGTAAAATTAATATTTTCCTTATCTTGTATTTGGAATCCTTCTTTTTTTTTCTTCATTCTTATCAACATTCACAATTATATAAACTATAAATTTCAATTTACAGTATGGCTGTTCACTCAAAATAGTTGATAACTTTTGGTCTTGTGTAGTATTTATGTATAATAAATAAATTCTATATTTTTCTGTTTTTTAATAATAAAATCTTTTTCTTTCTTTAACAGAGGAAATGGGCACAATTACCTCTTAATACTAAAGTAGAGGTTGCAGTGCCTGGACCAGGTCACTTTGATACAATTGAAACTATTATGCTAGAGATTGATTTTTTTAACAAAAAAAAGTAAGTAAAAAGTGTGATTATATGTATTAATTTTCTGTCACCTGCTGATAATCACAATTTAAAATTACTAAAGCTGCCTTACAATAAGTACAATTTAGATATTCAGTAAGCTTCATAGAGGCTGTAATTCATTTACATTTTTAAAATCTACTTGTGAAATGTAACAAAATTTGGTGTTAACGGAATGTTTTTTGGCTATGCATCCTTATATATTTAAGCTAAAACATTAATTTGAATACTTCAGAGAATCCACTTTAATGTCACATTAAAAATGTAATCAAGCAAATCCCCTTGCCACCTACAGTTACTATCATAAAAATTATGGTGTTAATAAATTGACTAAAAAAAATAAATGTAGCAAAGAAATGACATATGCAATGCTTAGAAGCTGAAAGTAACAAATGTATGTTAGGGTTCATCAAAGGCTAACCCAAAATGGCCTATTTTCTATATAACGTATGAAGAGATAATTTCCCATGTAATCTACTTCCTTTATCCTGCTACTGATATGATAAAGACTTGGCAAATGGCAGCTCATCTGATGATGTGGGCCCTCAAAATATTTCTTTTTTTAAATGTCCATTTAAAAGTTTTTGGCATTTCAAAATTCAAATTGGGTTATGTACAAGCACAGTCACCAGTATTGCTATATCCATCACTATACCAATGTCAATGCAAAGTGAAAACTGATATAGGGATCTAGTTACTTGTGTATATTCCAACTAGAGGTAAACACATGATGTCATTTCTACACTTCACCTACACTTTCTCACAAGATTTTACAAGAATTTCTTATGATTATAAAAGATTTTTCTCAGCTTCACAAATTTCATTAATAATAATGTATTAATTATGAAACTAATTTTTCATATATTCACAAAATGTATGTAATAAGCAAATACATGTACAAATAAGATGTGTGTGTATGATTGTTATTTATATTGCCATTGTTATTATGCTGCATCCCACTACACAGGGCTGACAATAATATGACCTTCCATGAAAAAGGTTACTCTCTCCTGGACTGGATAAATATGCTTCTAGAGAAGAAATAGTAATGTTTAAAACAAGATACCAAATGGAAATTGATTTAAAAAGAAAAATCCACTTTGCAATATGTAATTGTATGCCATATTTATATATTGTATTGCCTATAGTTTGAGAAATCATTAACATTCCAAGATTTGGATATTCTTTGTGTTACTGACATTGCTACCATAATATTTCGGCTGATCTATTCTACAGTCTTCTTCAGGAATATAATCCATAAATAAAAAAAGGAAATCTTTAACAGAAAAAATTGCAAATATAGATCATAAAATAGAAAGATAAGCAAATTCACTTTCTTGTTTTGTAAAAAAAAGAAAGCCTCTTTGCTTTTTTTTACAAATTTTACACCTAAAATTGGCTGTAGAATGAATTCACTAAAAACTTGAAATAAATGCTGAAGTGTTATCTGATTGAATAATTTCTTTGGATTTCAGAATTGAATAAAATCATCTATAATGAAATTTATTTAGAAAAGTTTTTAATGCATGTAGTTAAGCATCTCTCCATTAATCAAAAAATATGTGTAATGGTAATATGAATGGTTGCAGCAGGAGTTCCTAATTAAATCATATCCAGCACAAATTGGCATCACACTCTTTAACGTATAAGTACTTTGCTTATATGTACTTTCATTGTTCTTTCATCTCAGACAATCTTAATGCTGTCTGAATTTTTGGGATGAGGAGTTATCATTATTTACACACAGTTTATTGTCTCACCTTTGTTGTCACAACAGCTCAAATGTAATAACAATAAACATGGTGACAATTGTCTGTGTGTAAATAATGTAAATAATCTTAATTTTATTTGAATAGTTCTTTATTGAAAATATTTATGCTCTGTTTCTTTTCAGAGTATCAACAGAATCGTTGAACACTGAGCATGTTGCTAAGAATTTCAGCGATACTTTTCTAAACAATGTTTTTTCAGTTGGGATGCCTATGGCATTTGAATTCAATCAAACTGTACTGACTGCTACTGTCAAAGAAATCAAAGGTAAACCTAATTAAGATACTTTTCCTGTAACTTTAGTATTGATTTGGCCAAAAAGTTTTTTTTTTTTTTTTTTTTTTTTTTTTTTAGGAGTGTTACTTGGAAATAATCAGTGCAAGAGAATGTCAATAAACTTAAAATAATCAAGCATTGAAAATTACTTTCCCCAGATTGGTTATAGTAGTTGCTTTGTTGTGTGGTTTTCATATGATTTAAGCAAAAAAGAAAAACTAATGGACTTCATTTTGATGTACAACTTTTTCTTTTCCTGTTTTTTTTTTTTTATAAATTGTGATAAGTGATGAAAAATGTATACTTCACAACATGGAATTCAAGAGATCATGGAAAATGTGAAATGAACCAGCAAGGTTTCACTAGTCTTTACCCAAACTTGGTAACACTGTATATATATATATCTATATATATATATATAGTAGGATTGGAAGTTCTATCCAGAAAAACACAAAAATGCTGCTGTTAGCTAAACCAGCTGAAGCAATCGACAAAATGCATTCCTCTAAAATCTAAGAGAAAGAAAATATCCCATCAAAATAATGCTCAAATGCATATTTTAGTAACCAAATAAAAATGGTTACAGCTTGGCTGGGAATTCTCACTCAGCTCTCATATTAAGCAGATACTGCACATTCGTATTACAATTTATTCCAGTTTTTGCAAAATTCTCGTAATGAAAACAAATTTCAATTCCCAGAAAAACTGTAAAAAACGATTGTTTGCTCAGAAAGATGAAATAAGAAGATTTGAATTATGAAGTTTCTAGAAAGATGACAGAAGATAGCGGAAGAAAATGTTAAATATTTTGTTCAGTAACATTGAAAATGAAATAAACGTTTTACTTAATAATCTAAAAATTTTTGGCCAGTCCAATATAAAAGGATTTTTTAAAAAATCATATAAATCTTGTAATTACCTGTGTATAACTTTATCCTTTGTGTTATGAAAAGAACTGTTGATCAATAATATTAAGGGAAAGAAAGTAAAAACTTCTAGAAAGACTACTTCTTTATTTAAGGTTTCTTTTTTGCTGCTAGAATCTTTTTAGTTAAAATGTGTTTGCTGTAACTGTTCAAAAAAATTACAGCAGTGGAAATATGACATTAAAAAATGTTATTCTATAAGCAGGTATCCCAAACTAAAATGTTATTTTCAATATATTTAAAAACATTTAATACAAGCAAAGAGAGTTTGACAAAACATAAAAATTGGTGCCAAATTTATCTTGGTAGCTCAATTAGCAATGAAGTTATGGCCATTCAAAATTTTGTCAATTTTCTATCTTGTGTGCTATTGGACCAAAAGCCAATTTCAATAATGTATAACTGAAGATACCAACTTCAAACCAGTTAAAGATTATTATAAATATAATGTCATATAGGTAGTCTTGAAAAGAAATATGCTAATGGAATCAATAATTATTAGATCAGACCAACCTAAACATTGGAAAAAATTGCTTTCTTAAAAACGAAATAGTTAAAACATGATACAGAAGGGCACTTTATTTATACAAGTTCCATTTCAATAGTTAATGCCTTGCAGGTTGTTGATATGATTCTTAGCACAACAGAGATGAATTTCTAATTTCTTTTTCAGTCTATAAAAAAAAAAACTATTTACATCATGTAAAAACAGCCAGAATGGCAATTTGACAATTGAATAAAAACAAGTTAAAAGTATACCCTTCTGAAATTACCATAAAAAATATCCATTGGAAGTATGTGCCTGAAATTTTACTTGTTTGGGGATGCAAAATTCAACAAAACAGTCTTTATTTTCTGTAACCTTTTATCATAGATGTATCTAATTTTTGAACATTTGTTGAAATTGTGCAATTTTTAACTTGTCAAAAAAAGACAGTAATGACTACAAAACTTAGAAATTTATTTCATTAAAAAAATCATTGGTCAATCCTTCAACAAATGTCCATTATTGAAGATGAGGCATTGCTCTTCAAGAAAGTGCAATCTTTTTAAAGTGTTGAATTTCTATGGTATTTTGTCCACTAAAGATTTCAGTAATTTTTTTTGTGAAATGCAACTTAAAAAGCTCATCTTAAACCCACCAACTTCACATGCATCTTTTTTTTTCTTTAAGATGGGAATATTTTTATATATTTAAGGAGATACAACTCGAAACACGAGTTTCAAAAAAAACACACACACACGTCATTGAAATAGTGACATAATTTAAAGAAACCTAGAATAAAAACTAATAAAAGAGAAAAGGTTTTTTTTTGGGGGGAGGGGGGTTTACATACTAATTTTATCAAAATAGCCTAGAAAATAAACGAGATATAATCAGTTGAAATGGAAGGAAATTTCACTATTTTGTCATATGTTCGCACTAGGCCAGTTTAGGATACCGACTATAAGCTGTTTTCCAGGATACTTTTTAAACATAAATTTCCCCATTAAAAGGATTTCGGTTAAGTTTTTAAAATGGAAAGACAATGAGTCATAATGTTTTTCCTTGTTTTTATGCAGTGTTTGATCTATCCAAAAATATTGATGGAGGTGCATCATCAAGAATTGTAAGTTTGATTTTTATTTTTTTGTTTTAATCATAAAAAAATAAGTATTGTTGAGGAATCATGAGAAAAAAACTTTCTTTCTATATCTATCATTGAATATAAGTAGAAAAAATACTTCTTTGTAGATAATTCTTTTTTATCAACTATCTTCATTCATTTATATTATATATTCTCTCAGTAACACTTTTTCATTTTGATATTTCTACAAAAACCATAACTTTTACAAAATCTCCGATCTCATCCACCAGAAACCAGCTTATGAATGTGATCCAGTCACTTAAACTTTCTTACTTTCAGTAACATATTTTTTTTTTTTTTTTTTTTTTTTTTTTTTTTTTGTAATTCTATAAACCATTATATGAGTATTTTTGTGAAAAAGATAGCATTGAAAGTATATATTTGTCAAACATGAAGTAAATTTTTAAACCCATATCTACAAAATATAATCCTACTAAAGCCATGTTAAATTTGTATGAATGTAAACTATTCAATTATTTTAAAAAAAAATGCCTCTTTTTGTCTTATCAATATCTTAATTAAACCAGAGTTATGGTAATACCAAACTTAAATATATTTTTAATTTGTCAAATGTTAACAATGAAATTCTTTCAAAAAATATTTCGAAGCTTCTCAATGGAAATTATTTTAATACAACCTTCAAAAACTTATCCTAAGAGATAACTTTAAAAACAGTTCAATACTATACATGAAAATTACAATCATTTAATTTCCATTTAATAGTATGTTTTAGAGAACTTTATTTTTATGATGATTACATTTTCACTACTTAAATTCTAAAAGAAAAGAAAACGAATCTGATTTAAATTCCCAACCAATAATTATGTACTGATGTGCACTGATTGTCTTTTTCATTTATTCACATCCTCAACAGATAGGACCTTTTCTATCCTCTGTATTTCTTAACCATTTATATATTATTTTTTCTTAGGGTTTAATTGGTTTACTTATTGGTAATTCCAACATAAAATTTCAAGCATCTGAGAACTCATCAATCATGCTGGTGGGCCGGAATAAAGGGTTTGTTGTTTTATTTTTGCTTTGACAATAATTAATCCAGCTACAAATTCAATCCTTTTGCAAAATTTACACTAAAATAAAATAAAAAAACTTTAAACTTTCTTTTAATATTTACAGTTTGTGTTTCATTTATATATTTATCAAAATAAATGGGAAGTGATTTCATGGTATAAACAAAGGCTCATTAAACTCAGTCTCACTATGTTCCTCATTTTTGTTATTATTAAATAACTTCAACTCCAGGACTCCAGACAGACAAATAGATTTTTGTTTTACCCTAGCATCACTATTTAATCTGAATAAATGTATATTTTCATTATAGGTATCAGTCTGTTATCTCTCCTGACTGGGATTTCACTAAAATGGGAATTGGTGGTTTGGACAAAGAATTCTCAACAATTTTTCGACGTGCATTTGCTTCTCGTGTCTTTCCTCCTGACATTGTTGAACGACTGGGTGAGCTTATTTCTAATTTCTGTCACTAGAAAATGAAAATAGAATTAGATTATAGAGAAAAGCATGAATGTTAATATTTGTGAAAACAAATATAAATTTTAAACTGTATGCTCTATGTAATGTGGGGATTCTGAAAAGTTCTTAGCCAAGCCAAGAATTCCCTCTAAAAATGATGTTTGGTCAGATTTTAGGAAGTGGGTCAGGCTGAGAACTTTTCAGCACCATCTCATATAATTATAGATAATAACTAAATAATTAGGGTTTATTGGAGTATTATTAAACATGATTTTAGATTTTAATGATTAAAATTTTTGTTTTAAACTTAAGAATCATGTTCTTAAGTTAGAAAAAAGTGACTATATATGATATTAAAAAAAGGAAAATCTTTTTTCTCTAAGATGTGAACCAATTTAATATATTAAACATAGAGAGAATTTGCAATTGTTTCAAAAGCTTACTTTTCACTGGCTCAGATAAAATTCCTTCCTAGTAAATTTATGACAAAATATTTGATTTTCTAATTAAAACAGTACAATGATTTCTAACTCTTTGACAAAATCACTTCACATCAAAATAAGAACATTGAAGATTACTGATTATAAAATGTATTCCTCCCCACCCCAGTACAAACCCCTTTCTCTCTTCGGTTTTTTAACTGAAAGCAATCTTTTTAAAGGTGTGCGTCATGTAAAAGGTATCTTGCTGTATGGCCCACCAGGTACAGGCAAGACTTTAATTGCCAGGTGAGGTACTTATGCTATATTTTGCTTTTCGTTTTAATTAATATTCATTATTTAAAAAAAAAAAAACTTCTAATCTATGATGAATGTAGTTAGCTAAGAAAAAAATGTTTTATAAGATTTTGTTTTTATTTTTACAATTTTTCAATATTTCTGAATATAAATTTTGTTTAGATTCTTTTGTATTAAAATTCCATAGAAAGCATAAATAACTTCAGTAAGAAAAATTTAGGAAAGTTGCAATGTGCTTTATGCTTTTTTTTTTTTTTTTCTTTATTATTATTATTAAAATTATTTTTTGTTCAGGAAAATTGGGAAAATGTTAAATGCAACTGAACCAAAAATTGTGAATGGTCCACAGATTTTAGACAAATATGTTGGTGAATCTGAAGCTAATATCAGGAAGTTGTTTGCTGATGCTGAAGAAGAAGAAAAAGCTGTAAGTTACTCCACTTCATCCTCAAGGGACCCCAATTCTTTTCTCATTGTAATTTAAAAGCTCTACTCTTGTACATAATCAACTTTTTTTTTTAAACTTCTGTTTCTCATGCTTCACCCTAAGCCTATTTCCTTCATTTTTTTTCTCTCTCTCTCTCTCCTTTTATAACTTTTTGATTTTTATAAGATTCAGAACTTTCTTTTACACTTTAAAATCTACTGAGTCTATTTTATATAATGGAGAAAGAGTACTGAGCACCATATTTTTGGGTTTTTTTTTAAAACCTCTAGCTATATATTTATATACCTTAAAGAAAGGATAACTTTCATCTATGTACAGTTTATGAAAAATCATCTTTAAGCTGTCTTGCCCAATTTTTTTTTTTTTCTTTTTTTCACTCAATGGACCAGAATAGGGCAATAATCATAAAAAAATTTCTCTTTGTAAGGTGGCTAGTATCAAGAATGGAGCAAATTTAAAATTCTGAAAGAAAGTTGAAAAGCAGCTATAACTTATCGAAAAGTTTATATATTTGGTTGAATTCTATGCATTCTAACTTTCAAGCATTCTTCAAACATAATTTGAAAGCATCGCTAAATAGGATGTTAGTTATAGCAGATTAACAAAAATGTCTTGCTAATAAATGATTGATTGGATGATGTATACTGTAGTCTAATTGAATTGAGAAAGGAAGATACCTATTTTCTGTTAATGATAGTGAAACCATTTAGTTCTAAGGGGCAGCATTTTCTTAAGTTGAGACTTGCCTTAAAATTTCTTCAGTATTCACAGGATTAATTTTGTGGCATTAAGTTTAAGTACATCATTTCCAACAAGTCTATGATACCTATTACAGTTCACAACCATTATGGGTATTATTTAAAATCTTTTGTTTAATTCAATGGATCCTTTAAAGCATCCTAGCATTTGTATGACTGAAACATCAAATTGTCAAAGCTGTAGATAAGCCTTTTGCAATTTTAGCTTTCCTAAAAAATTGGCATTCTCAAACTTTTCTGGGAATGGGCGTTACTTCACTGCCTATATTCATTTGCATATCTAAATTGTTTATTTTAACTTGCATTAAAATATCTCTCCCTTAGTCAGTGTTAATATTTAATGACTGCTTAACCAGGTTCTTGTTTCATGGACATAAATTTTGTCCATTCTACCACGACCAACATCTTTTTTTGGTCACCGGTTCCTCACTATAATTTGACTTATTTCCTTAAAACTTTGGATTTCTAATTTTAGGGGATGGGCCATTATTGAGACTCTCACAGTTGCCATGTTTTCTTCCCCTTTTAACTTTGTTGTCTTTCAATTTCTTGGTTCTAGTACCTGCCTCAAAGCACCTCAACCATGTGTTCACAAAATAAAGGTCCTCTAGAGTTAACGGATATCTTATTGGAAATACTCATCATGATGTGTAATAGAATTTGTCAGTAGCAATTGTTAGCAACTTACAGTCATTATATACCTTTTATTTTATTAAAAAGTTAAGATTGTTTAACAGTATGCTTTCATCAATAGTGTCTGAACCTTGAGAATTGGAAAATAAGTTGTTGCATTTTTGTAGGTGCAGTGTAACAAGATACACTGCCTTAAGCAACATAAAATTGAAAAAATTATGCAAAATTATTGGGCCAATGAAAGATCTGAAATGATAGCCATGATAATATGCAAATTTCTAAATAGGAATTTTTGTGCCTTATTAACATGTGTAAGGTACTGAGGCATAGTTATAGTTGAACATTAGGTAGCTTTTTTTACACTAAAATTTCTGCTGAAACAAAGATGAAAGTTGTGTCCTTGAAAGGAAAGGTGATTCAAGGTGAGATAACCAGGCAGCTGGCAATTCTCAGAAATGGTGTTCAAACCATCTAAAAGATGTTTTCTACTACTGGAAGTGCTAAGAAAAGCAGAAGACTACAAAAGATCATAAAATGTACTGAGAAAAGCATACTGGTAATCACTCTCAAATTAACAAAAGTAATTTGCCAAGGTGAACCAAAGGTTTTGCATACCAGTGTATTACACATCACAACAATTTCTGTATTAGGAAATGGCTAATATTACTATTACTACTCTACATATTTTTTCTGTAAGGAACAAGGTCCACTGACTTCATGGAAGAAAGCAGCTGTGTGTGTGTTTTCAACCATGATGCTAATATAATCCTATCCTGAACAACTGGAAGAATGCATGACAATAATCAATTCCTGCACTTCCCCAGCTTGAACTTTAAAAAAAATGTTAATACCTACAAAAGAATAAGCCAAGTACAACACAACAAAAATCATAAATTCAGATGTTTATATAACTTGTATACACACTCAAGTCAGCACTTTTTATTTCTGCTCTTTCACATAAGTATTGGTTGGTCAGGAGGATTTATTTCCATTAAAAGCATTTTTAACCACCAGTCAATAAAAAATAAACCTGTTATGATTTATTAAATTTCTTAAAAATAAAACTTTTGCTTGTGTCCTTATCTATTCTCAAAATACCTTTAACCACATAATTTCCATTTTGTTATTTTAAGAGTTTTATTTATAATCACTCGGTAAAAAATAATTATATAATTCTCAGCTGACCAAAAGATCTTTAGGTGGTGGTCTTTTTGTTTTTGTTTTATTTGGGTTGAATTTTTTTTTTTTTTTTATCTTACCATTGGAAATATTTTTAGGTATGCTATCTACAGACAAATGTTGAAATCTGAAAAATTTAAATCTAAATTATTAAATGCATTATATCATCAAAAAAGGGTAGCTTTCTTCAGAGCAAAACCTTTCAGAACATTTTCTTTTGCAAAAAGTAATCATAATTTTTTTTTTTTTTTTTTTTTTGTAAAACCATTTTCCTTTCCTTAACAAGGTGAGTTAAAGAATATAGCTAGAAAATTTTAATTGCATTTCAAGATTGATATATTTATATATTTCTCTTCAAATGATTGAATATACTTTTCATTTAAGCGTGGACGAAATAGCAAGCTTCATATTATAATATTTGATGAAATCGATGCTATTTGTAAACAGAGAGGAACTGTAGTAAGTTGAATTTGTCTTTACTTTCTTTTTCAATTATATTTCTTTATATGATATATATATCATCATTATTGTTTAAACATCTGTATTATATCATGTGTTTGGCAGAGGAGTGCGGGGGTAGTCAACATTTGATAATTTTGCAGCAATACATGCCTAAAGGTTTTAAACAGTTTTAATCAACATTTCTTTTAAAATAATAACAATAATAATATAATGATAATATTAAGAACTTATTACAGGAAATATCAAGTTTTACAGAAACATTGTTGACAATTGTGTGTTTAGTTACATAAACAAATAAATAAAAATAATATAAATTTTGATTCTATATTCAATATGTTGTTAGGTATGTTTCATCTTCTTTGTTATTGGCAGCATTTTAGAATACTTTTGCTGCAATGTTAAGTTGAACAAACTGGAGCTATTTCGTTATGCTTTTGTTACCTCTCTTTTCCATTGTTGTTTTTAGATCAATTTCTTCCAGTCATTTTGATGGGTAATAGTGAAATTCTAAAATTTAGAATGATCTTGTTCCACTTAAAAAAGAAAAGCCTGTAAAAAGGAATATTTTAAATTATATACGACCAAAAATAAAATGCTTTTGATAAAAACCTTACTGATTTCAATATAATTATGTAACAATAACATAATGATATTCCACAAACAAACCTATAGCGTATGTTACTCATTGCACGGTTAAATTGAGATATTGTGTAATTGGCCCAAATTTTTTTGTAAAATACTTGGATATGATATAAGGAATAATTTTCTTTTTTTTTTTTTTTTTTTTTTTTTTAATCTCCTCTGCCAAATGTCATATGGTTTGTCATGATTTTTTCTGCTTCCAGATAAAATGGTTTCCATTATTTTCCAATAATTTTATTGTAGAATACTGTCATTTACATATATTGTTGATATTATTCTCCACCATTTAACAATTTGTGTCCATTTCTATTAAATTTAAAGTTAATTATATAAATTCACATTAAGAATATTTTCTAAGAATTGTAGTCCTTCTACAATTTTATTTTTCAGATAATGTCATTATTTCATAGCAAGATTCTTTCTTTTTTTTTTTTTTTTTTTTTTTTTTTGTTGTCCAAATCATTCTAACTTAACTTATAATCCTATTTGTTGGTTTAGTTTAAATCTGTGTTTGAAAGAAAAATTGAAAAAAAAAAATTGAATGTCTTTGTATAAAAGTTATAAAGTGTCTATTCAGTATTCTCATGATCTAGTTTTTATGATTTTTCTTGCTAGATAAAATGTCCAAACATGGAATTGTTTTTGCCATTTTTTTTCCCATTGTTCTTAATTTTATTGAAAGCAAGTATCCCAAGCCAACTGTTGGTAGGGATGGAGGATTGGCCGTTGATTTCCCCTTTCCATATCCCAGCTCTGCGTTTATAATTTAAAAATCTATGCTTCGATTTGATTTTAAAGGTAAAAAACACATTCACTGGTTATCATGAGAATGAAAAAAAAGACAAAACTTTGCCATGTATGATGAGGCATTTTTGACATATCAACAAATTTGGATTTTTTTTTTTTTTTTCAAATTTTTTTTTTTTGTTTTTTTTCTACTAATACTAAAATTTAAATGTTGTAAAAGGGAAAAATACAATAGCCTGGATTCTTTAAACTTCCCCCCTTCTTCTTTCCCTTTGTTTTTGTGTTTTTTTATTCATTATAGACATGAGTAGTTTTTACACACCGCCCGGTTCAACCTCCTGTTCTCTTGGACAGGGGTTCAGAGGCTTACACCTTGTTTCTCTCTCTCAAAACTTCTCTCTCTCTCTCTCTCTGGCCTCTGTACTAGTGCAGCTCTGTTTCTCCCGTGATGTGTGCAGTCTGTGGCATTACCTCTTCATTCTGGGGGTACAATTTGACAGTGACAGTTCTCTGGTTGCTGTTTCCGACTGGTAGTTAGGAGCCCTAACTCTTGTGTAGCGTCTTGAGCCGCCACTCTGATCAACATTTGTATAATACGGGGGTGTTTGTAGTGCCATGTCACGTATGGAAAGGTGTCCCTGCAGTCACCTCCGGTGGGCAACCCTGAGGCCACATTATGATACAGGCTGTGCCAACTCCTCTCTGCCCATGTCACGGTCGATAACTGTCTGCTTCTTTTACTTCAGGCCTTCTCATCTTCCAACCATAATTCCACATGATGACTTACAAAGACCGAAAAAGTAATCTTAAACCAGCCCCTCGAAAATCACCTAAACCCCTCAACATTTCATTCTCCAACATCCGTGGCATTAGGACAAGCTTCTGCAGTATGGAATCTTTCCTCACTGCAAACTGCACAGATATACTGGCTCTCTGAAGCCAACCTTGTCTCGTCTATCCCCTCATCTGATCTCTCGATCCCAGGCTACCTTCCTCTCCTCAGAAAAGACTCTAACCCACATGCACGATCTTGGTATCTATATCAAGGACCATCTCCCTCTGGCCAGAGACTTGTCTCTTGAATCGCCAGACCAGTCATACATATGTCTCCGACTATCTCTTCTCAATGCAGTAAGCTATCTCTTCTTCCTTTACCGCTCTCCATCCTCTCAAGACTGTGGGATACTCGATAGTATTTCTAACAGCATAGACAAGGCTCTCTCCCTCCATCCTTTGCTCACATATTTGTGTTTGGCAACTTTAACACCCATTATACCAAGTGGCTTAAGAATGCTACTACTGACTACGCAGGCATTCAAACACTTAACTTTTCAGTTTCTCAATCCCTCACGCAGATAGTTAACTTCCCTACTCGTTTTGCCTTCAACCGGGAAGGTAAGGCCTCTCTTCTCGATCTGTGTTTTACCTCCATCCCAGAGTCTTGTAGCGCCATGCAACTCTGCCCTCTTGGTAACTCTGATCATGCTGTAGTATCTGTTAACATCTCCTTCAACTCCACCCCCTGCAAAGAACCTCCTACCACTAGAACTTCATTCTACTATCAACGAGCTGACTGGGACTCGTTCCGTGATTTCCTCCGCGATGTCCCCTGGGATGTTGTCTTTACGCTCCCCGTCCAAGAATGTGCTTCTGAGGTCTCTTCCTGGGTTAAAGCTGGAATCGACGCTTTCATCCCCTCAAGGAAATATAGGGTCAAGTCGCGCTCCTCCCCTTGGTTCTCCGCTGCTTGCTCAGCTGCCATTGCCCATAGGAACCACTTCTTTCACCTATTTCGTAGCGACATGTCGGACTGCAATAGACGTCTCTTTGCCTCCGCCCGTAACGAGTGTAAGCGTGTCCTCAACGATGCTAAGTCACTATTTGCTGCTCGGATGAAGGAGCGTATTGCATCTCGCAAATTTGGCTCCAAAGATTATTGGCGTCTCTGCAAGAGCGTATTGAACAATTGCAAACCCTCTATACCTCCTTTGTTCAACCAGTTCGAAGTCCTGACCTCCTCTGCCGACAAGGCTGAATGCTTTGCTCGGAAATTTTCATTCAACTCAACGCTCGACTCTTCCGGTGTACCCATACCCGACTTCCCTCTTAGAACTGAGGCCCTATTGAGTGGGTTACACATAACCCCGTCTTTGGTATTGGGCATTATCTCCAATTTAGACCCCCAAGGCTAGTGGTGGGGATGGGATACCAGCTATTGTCTTGAAGAAATGCGCGCCTGAACTGGCGCCCGCCCTCTCTAAACTATATAACTACTGCCTCAAGGAATCTTGTTTTCCTGACTGCTGGAAGTCCTCTTCGATTGTTCCTGTCTTCAAGAACTCTGGCGACCCCTCTGACCCTTCTAATTACCGTCCTATCAGTCTCCTACCCCTCTTTCGGCAAAGTCTTCGAAGCCCGAATCAATGCCGAAGTGGTTAACCATCTTACATCCCATGATCTGCTCTCAGACAAGCCCGATCTACAGCTGATGTGCTTACGGCCATCACTGAAACTGTCTACCAAGCTCTTCAAAATAACGGGGAAGCTCGTGCCGTGGCCCTAGACATCTCCAAAGCGTTTGATAGGGTTTGGCATGCCGGCCTTCTTCGCAAGCTCCAGTGTTATGGCATTACGGGTCGATTGTTTGACCTAATACAATCATTCCTGTCAAACCGTGAATTGAAGGTCGTTCTCAACGGATTCTCCTCCAGTTCCTATCCCACGAACGCAGGTGTTCCTCAAGGCTCCATCCTAGGCCCCACTCTATTCCTTATCTACATAAATGACGTTCCTGACGCCATAAATTCCCAAGTTGGCATCTACGCGGATGACACCACAATTTACTCCTGCCTCAAAAACAAATCTAGTGTCGCTGACAAAACTAACCTGGCCGTGCGTCTCGAAAAGGACCTCCAATCGGTTGTGAACTGGGGCAGGAATTGGCTGGTCAACTTTAATGCCTCAAAAAAACAAAACTGCTCTCTATTAATGACCACAGAGATGCTTCCCTTCCCTCCATTAGAATGTCTGACGCTCAACTTCTCAAGAGCACCTCTCTGCGGCTGCCCGGTCTCACGTTGACTGCTGACCTGAGATGGAACAAATACATTGAGTCAATTGCTTCGTCCACCGCAAGGAAAGTTGGCTCCCTGTGCCGCGCCAGGAAATTTTTCTCCCCGGAATCGATCCTTCAGATCTACAAATCAACAATTCGCCCTTGCATGGAGTATTGCTGCCATATATGGTCTGGAGCCCCTTCTGTTTGCCTCGGGGTTCTTGATAAGATCCAGAGGCGGATATGCAATATAATTGGCCCTGTTCTGGCATCTCGTCTACAGTCGCTCTCTCACAGACGCGCCGTCGCCTCTCTCTGTCTTTTTTACAAATACTTTCATGGTAATTGCTCCGAGGAGCTGCATTCGCTGGTTCCCAGACTTCATGAATTCAAGCGCCCTACGAGGCTGGCATCCCGCTCTCACCCTTTCACTGTCGAAACTATTAAATGTAGCCGTCTCTTCTACTCCAATAGCTTCATGTCTCGCACCTCTCGCCTGTGGAACTCCCTTCCCTATTCCAGTTTCCCTGAGAGCTATAATCTCCAACTATTCAAATGTAATGTCAATCGACATCTCGAGTTGCCTTGATCTATCCACTATCCTTCTCCTCATCCTTTCTTCTATCACTCCTATCTGATCTTGCTCCAAATTTTCTGTAACCCCTTGCGTCCTAGTGGCTTCCCGCCTTGCTTGGGGTGAAATGCTTAAAAAAAAAAAAAAAAAAATATGTCATTTCCCTTTTTTTTTTTTTTTTTTTAAAAAAACCTAATTATTTATGTTCAAAATAATTCACAAAAAGGTTTGAAAATAAATTTTTGAAACATCAAAAATTAGATTCATAGATTTTTAAATTTTTTGAAACAATTTATATTATAATGATTGTTGAAAAATGTACAGAAAAAAAAAAAAATTTAAATTAATTTTTGATTTTTCAAAAATTAAAAAAAATTTTAAACTGAAGTCTTTAAATAAAGTTGATATTTTTCAAGTTAATATATTAAATTTAATGGAAATAACACTTTATATTTTCAAAACCATAATTCTTTTTTTTTTTCTAAGAAAAATATAAAATTTGTTTATTATATTCTGTCAAAGTGAATTCTATATTATTAATAAAACTGTTTAGGGAAATCAATGAATAAAATCTTATACCATCTTGGTAGGAATATGAAAGCAAACCTGAAAATAGATAAAATACAACGTGAACGCCTTTTTTATTTTAGTTTATTTTATTTTTAAATTTGCATTGTTTTAAAAAAATAAAATATTTTAATATTGTCTAATATTTTATTAATTTATAGATTATTTTTTATAATTGTACAAGTATAATTTGTTGAAGAAATTTTAGGAAAATTATTGGAAATAAATTTTAAATTTATTATTATTATTATTTAGAATGTTCTATTTTCTGTCTTCTACTCAACATATAAAATTTACAAAAAATCGGCACATGAAGTTAATTTCCAAAAAAGCCAAAAATTAGTTTTGAATGTGGGGATTAATTCAACAACTTTAATGTCATTGCATCCATTAGAACCTGTTGCAGTTCATCATTTTAATAAAAAACCTTCTGGTTTAAATGGGCTCAAAAAATATCCATTTCATAAATTTGTCTTCTTAAATCAATGTAATTGACCAATGTGATGTAATATAAGAATTGAAAAAAAAAAGAATAAAAAAAAAAAATGCTTTTTGATTCTGTAAAAGTTTTTCCTGTCAACTTTTGATTTATTCCTTTGATCATCAATTGAATTAATATACAGTTTTTTTTATGGAATTTATTATCCCTTTTATATTTCAAAGACGAAAACAAATATATTTCAATTATAAATTTTATAAATACCATGATCAATTTATCAAGTTAATGGATAGGCAACCAAATTGATATTTTATCAATGGGGTTCGGATAAACTTTAAAACTTATTTTAGAATATGTATTAGAACAAAGGACAAAAATTGAACTATGCAAGCGCTCCTGGAAAATTGGGTCTGTAAATCACCAGACAATTATAAAAGCGATCGTTACCGTTACTTTATTTCAATCGAAAAAAAAAACAGCAAACAGAATAAAGTTGAGACATAACAATCCCAGACTTTGATCACAAGGTTCATCCAGTCTTTAAAAAGGCATTTAGGAGCCAATAGAGAGGGAAGTACACAATTTAATTTTGGCATAATTACAAACGGTCAATGGGGCATATCCTTTTTTTAATAATTTTGATTTTTCTAGTATTTTAAATAAAAGTAGCAGGTAGCTCTTCATTAATAAAACCATTCAGAAAGGTCATTTTAAATCAAATTTAATTTGGAGTTTTTGGTTGTTTGTTTAGCAAAAAACATCGTTTCATTGTTCAATTCTTTTTTTCTGTTTTAGGTTTCATGTGAGTTATGTTTACCAATAAATATATATGTTAAAGATTAAAATGTATGATATTTTTGAATTAATTTTCTTAAAACTGATCCGATGAAAAGAAAGTTTTCATTTAAAAAATGTTGAAGATAATTTTGGTTATAGTTTGAACTTTCCATGTCAATAATAAATTTTAATGTCATTATTAATAATATAATTTTTTTTTTTTTTTTAATACCTTTTTTTCAAAAATATTTTTTATTGCTATAGTTTGAATTTTTTGAATAATAATACCAATTTGAAATTTTTTTATTAATAATATAATTTAAATGTCATTGTTAATGGTTAATTTTACAATATTTAAATGATTTTTTTTTTGATTTATTATAGTTTTGATTATATTAAATTAGATGGTTAGAGAATATTGTCCATATTTTATTTATAATAAAAGAATTTTTTTTTATTTTGAGGCAGTCTTAATTTTTTCGGAAAATATTTTTTGACAATTAATGCTTTTTAATGATTAAATATGGATTCTAGTTGAATTTCAATATTTATTTAGTACGTGTTTTCAAAACTATTCATTAGTTTTCATATTTTTAATGATACATCAAAAAATATAAAACAATTTGTGAACAGTTGTTGCAGTCTTTCAAAATCTTTGAGATGTCTAATCTTTTTTTAAATATGCTCTTTTTTTTGATATTTTTTGATGATGAACAATCTTTCTGATATTTCAAGTTGGAAAATTTTTTTCTCATTTTTTTTTTCATCTTCTTTTAAAGGCGGCCTTTTTTCAATGGGAACGTGGTTTAAGTTTCAAAATTTTGTAACTGAATTTAAAAATTCATCTAGATCATAAATCAGTAAAAAAAAAATTGTATAATAATTTACCAAAAAAGGAAGATTATCATTGTTCAAATTAATTTTTTTTTTTTTTTCATTTTTTCAAAAAAAAAATTGGGATATTTTCTGTTTTAAAAAAAACTGTAAAAACAAGCATAGAATTAAATTAAATTCTTGCGTTCTGATAATTGTATTTAATTTAACACTATTGAAATTAAAAAAAAAAGTTTAAATTATAAAACTTTTTTTCTCAGAAAAAAGAAAATATACTGTATCTGAATATTTTAAATAAGTTTTCCCACAGAAATAAACAAATAAAGACCAATGATTTTGAAAATAAATGGTATGAATTTAAACCAAATGTTCAAATTTCACCAAAAAATAATTAAGTCTGTTGATTGTTTAAAAAAAAAAAGGAAAATTAATTTTATTTATTATGTATAAGTTATCTCTGGATGTTTTTTTTTTGTACAATTTTATGTTCTTTAAAAAAAATGGCAAATGTTTATTGTTATTAACATAAGAATGGACATGTTAATTAAAGGAGTAAGATTCAATAAACAAAATATATTTAATTTTTGAATTAAACAATTAAAATGATTGAAATTATTTTTTTAAAAAATGAAATAAAAAATTTTTTCTCTGGAAAACAGCAATTATTAATTTATCAAATAAATAAAAAAAAAAATATATTTTTCATATCTAGCCAGGGTTTTGGCGTATGGATATAGAATTTTAAACATGTTTATAAAATTAATATTTTTATATTATTCATAATTCTGATTTAGAGAAACTTTTTTATTGAGAACGAACAAATGTTGTAATTGGAAAAAATGAAACAATAAATAAAAAACACCTAAATAAATAAATTACAACCTTTGACCACACCTTTTGATTTTACAAAATGATTTTGAGGGTGTTAAAACGTTTGTCTCTAAATTACAATAAACAAGATGAGAAAAAATTTTTAAATTAAAGGATATTAACAAATCTGAAAAAAATTTTGAATTTATTTATCACTCGTCAAATGAAATTTTCAAATTGAGTGCAATCGAAAGAGATGAATAATGGACGTAATTGTAGAGGGATATTAATTGTGCTTCCTGAGAAAAAACAAAACTGAAATGTTGAGTTAAATAAATCTTCCTAATTTTTCCACAAAGTGAAACTTCCATTCAAACTATAAAGTAGTGGAAATGACATCTGAGTGATAATGGGTTGCATCTTTTCTGGATGAAAGATAAATCTATCTTAGTCATTTCTTCATTTGATTCCATTTTCAAATGTCTATTTATCTGAAACCTCTTGTATTTTGTTATTTGCTAAACATGTGATAATGGTTTTGAAAGTCACAACAGAAGCATAATGGATTCAAATTATATCATATATATATATATATATATAAAATTTTCTTTGGAATGTTAATTCCACTGCAATGAATAAAAGAGGTTATTTATTTTGTTACTCAACTATCAAAACAATTATTTCAAATGTCTGTCTAAGAATATGGGAGGATTTTTTATATGTATTAAAATCAGTTTAATCTTCAGCCAAGAAATATTTACTTTTTAATTTTATTTTATTTTTTTTTTATTTTTTTTTTTTTTCATTCAAGGTAATTTTTTCCATGTAAAACTAACTAAAACTAACTGTATTTGATAATTGCAGGGGAGGGGGGATTTTTCATTTTGAGTTGTTTTTTGTTAACCTTTAATCTATGTATTATTAGTAAGAATCCTTTTCCCTGTAATATTTTAAGTTGGGCATTTATAATTGAGAGAGGTGAGTATACAAGTTGTGATCTATAGCAGTCAAAATACAATGCTGTTATGTATCAACAATAGTAAATAAGATTGAATTGATAATAAAAATTTATAATAGAGAATTTTACTTTATACACATAATTGAAATGGTCAGTATGTCCTCTTTATAAAAGCTTAGATAGGCTTCAGAGAAAAGTTTCAAAATCAGGGTTTCTGTAATACATTTTGAATGGTCAATAAATATATTTTCTGCTAATTTTTATTTGCTGTTTGAAAATACACTTTGGATCCTTATCAGAAAACAGAATTGAAATTGTCATACTTCACCTGACCTAACATTTTATTTACTAGATGACAAGGTAACAAAGGATCTACCACACAAGCTGTATACTCTCAGTAAACACTCTGTATTCAGTAGTTGACATTTTTCTTAATTAGGGTGGAGGTACTGGTGTGCATGATACAGTAGTGAACCAACTTCTCACAAAGATTGATGGTGTGGAACAGTTGAACAACATTCTTGTCATTGGTAAGTGTAAATCATCAGTTTTTGCTTCTTCATAAAGAATCAAATAGTGGTATACCTTGTCATTTGAATAAAAACTGATAGACAGCAAATTAAACCTAAAGTTAATCCCAGAGTTTGATGGCACAGTGTCAGGTGTATCCATAGTTAAATGGGTTGATAAAGTGAAACTGGTGTACAGCCTGTGTGATTAAAACAGGCTGAGCACATCTTACTTCTATACTATAGGAGGAACATTTGTCATTTACCAGCAGCTGAGTGTGGAAGAGAGGTCTGATTGGATAAAGAATGCATTATATACTGCCTTTACTAGCAATTCACTTGCAGCATACAAAAAATTTATGATACCATACTTGCAATTGGATGAATCCATGGACATAACTGACAGAACTACAGAAATTAACAGTGAGACATGATGAGGAATGTGCACACAATGCTACAAGTGATACAGCCAGTTTCAAGACTGTCTTTGTAAAAAAGCAGGAGGCAAGATATCCATTTCAGTCTCTTCTTCAGGTAGGTTATGAATGAAGACATCAGTCCATTTCAACAAGACCACATGTTTCTTCATTCTTAACTTTTGGCTGCTCCTGCATAAGCATATTGTGGATTTGGAGTGGTCAAAATTTGAACAAACACCAGATAAAGAGAGCTGATTTTTATGTCCTGGTTGTATGAGCAAAGCCACTAAGCTTAAACCTGCTACTTGAGATCAATGTCATAAAAGTAGCATATTAATACACCCAACATCTTCTCAATTCGATCAGAGGTAGTATAAGTGAACTGTCATGGTAAAACCACATGTCAGAGTATGCTGTGTTCATTCAAGTCAGAGAGATATACTAGCAAGAGCTTTGAACAAAATTTGAAAACAGTTATGAGATCTGAAAGAATGGTATCAACAAGGCTCTAAAGTTTGTTTTGAACTGAGTAAAAAAAAAAAAAAAAAATGTTAGTCTAAGAGATATAGTCATTAGGGTAGGTCGATTTTGGAACTATAAAAAGAATAACTCGAGGAAAGTTGCAAAATAAAGTCAAAAATTACCACAAAAAATATTTTTCTTCAAAACTTCGTATTTATTTGAGCAATCGAACTTAAAGACAAAATAAATTGCGAATTTTTTCATCATAACGGTGTCACCGGAGACATGTGTATGTTAAATTAAAACCGAGTCTTAACGAAAAAAAAAAAAGAAAATAACGCTTAATAATGGATATTTTTGAGTTTATTATCTATTCTCTTATTAAATTAAATGAAATTACTACAAATAAAAAATAAAACACACTAAAATATTTAGTTTAAAATACAAATAACTACTCATGAACGGCGTCGTTTTTACTGGATATTTTTTCGGTATTTACCGGTAGTAATTACCTCCTCTTGTATGTTCGTTTTATTTTTGTTTACGCTTTTAACTAGCGGAAATATATATTTTATTTTCATCAAAAATATACTTAACTATTTAAAAAAAAATACAACTTTTATAATTATTGTAATTTGTTTATATTTTGAAAATTAATGTTTTATTAAAAAGCCTGTTTACAAGCTAATCCCGGAACTAACTCTAATTTTATATAAACATTACTTTTTTAATTTAATAATGCATTTCAAGCTTTATTTTCCAATTTATTTTGAAAAAATATTTTTGTATAATTTCTGATAATACATATATTTTCTTTTGTCAGATATTTTAATAAAAATGGCAGGAAAAAGTATCCCAAATACCGTGAAATTTTGGCTATATAGATTTGAGGGCTAGCCTTATCAAAATTCAAACAGTATGCTGTTGAGTTGATCAGGGGTGATGTATCTTACAATCTTGGAGTTGATGGAGCCTTGACAATGCATTGCTCTTGGATTTGAGGGCTATGGGCTTTCTCAACACGAATATTAATATAAAAATATATTTATATAGATAAATGTAAAATTGATAGAGCAAAGGTTAAAGTGAAAAAAGTGATGTTTTGCATTAATTCAACAGTGCGAGCACTATCAAGGCTATCCTTGTTGACAAACACTAATGCCAATTCAGGTTGTGAAGATGGATTTGCTGCACCTCTAGAAAGAAAACTTAACAGAAATCTTCATACTATTGGTTGCTCCTTGCACCAAAATAAACTTCCATTTAGTGCTCTTTTTAAACATGTAGATGGTACCACAAAATAGCCCTGCCACATTCAATGGTCCACGTGCAAATGATTACCATAATTTACCCCAAATACCCAAATATCATTTTCAGCTGTTGGCAGTCCTCTGGATTCTATTTTTAAAATTAAAAATGCAAATACCCTTAGTTGTGACCAAAGACTCCTTTATGAATATACAGTGGGTATTTGTAGAGGTAAGGTGGACTTTAGATTTGCATCATGGAAAATTGGTCCATTAAACCAGTCAAGGTGGTTAACTTTAGGCATCAGTCTGATGTGCTTATGGTGCATACCCACGAAATATTTCAACCAAACTCCACAGTTTAATAAATTTTATTGTGAATGTGTATGCCATTTGCCAGTTCCAAAAATAAAAGAAATAACAAGTTCCACAATCAGCAAATGTATATTTTCAATATGATCCAAAGGATTAGGAAGCAACCATATGAAATCCAAGAGATCAAATTGAAAAATATACAATACAATGCTTTCGCCTTACTGCCTGAAAATATCTTATATTCAATGGTCAAATCTGAACGAGAAGTGAGGGAAGAAGCTATAAAAAGAATTTTGGCCATTAGGTTAGTAAATATTTATTCATATAAAAATGACTAAATTAGTTATACCGATTTATGGAATCATTTTAAGGATTTTATCTAATTTCAACATAAATATTAAAGCAGTACAGAGTGCAATTTTTTTTAAAAATAAATCAAATTTTTATATTCTTTCAAGAGTGGGGAACAAACCAAGAAAAAATTAAAAAGAACCACAACTATCAATTTTAAAGCTATGCACTGGAGACAGTTAAAAGATCTGTCATTAAGTGGAATTTGTGAACCACCACTCACAGAAGAATTTTCTGAAAATGAACTTCGGGAATAATTATTAAATGGTACGAAACTTGACTTGCCAGATTTGCCTTCACATTCTCAAGGCATGGAATGGGAAGTCAAGTTAACAACAGAAGTTTCCCAATCTGTGTATGGCTTTGAAGCAAGGCACCAGCACATAATATCAAAAGCTTTGTGTCAGAAATTGTGACCATCAATTTCATCTGAGGGTTCTTATATGGAGCTATTTGACTCTATATATTAAGCCCTATTAAACTATTCTTTATTTTTTCATGTTTGTTGTATTTTCATTCAAACTAGAAAAAAATCAATTTTTTAATGTATTCAACTAATACTGCTTAATTCATGAGGTAAAAACAGCATTTCAAAATCATCAGTGATAGGGGAGGGGCAAATTTTCAATTTGAAGCTTATTTATAATTTCTACGTTTATTTCATTTTGCTAAAACAAAATAACAACATTCCCCGATTTAAATAGTGGAATTGTTTGTTCTTTTATCAATATTTAGTCTAAATCTTGCAAAATCGTGGATTTTTCAGTGCTTTTTTGTCTACGATCTTTGATGCCAAATGCTCAAAAAACCGTTGAAGTGACAAATCTAATTTTTTGTATCAGTACTTAACTGGTCTATACACAACTTTCCGTACATTATTCTTTTTGATATTTTAAAAAAAGACAAAAATCGACCTACTCTAATAGTCATATGACTAAAACATAAATAAGCAAGTTTTCAAATTTTATTAATATTCAAATTTGTTATATCTGCTTTCTATTGACATGAAATGTTATCTTTTGATTTAGTTTTAAACATCACTAAACAAATGGATTTTAAATTTGATTTATTTAATTTTTCAGGTATGACAAACAGACGTGATTTGATTGATGATGCCCTTACTCGACCTGGTCGTATGGAGGTGCAGATGGAAATTGGTGAGTTTTATCTCTTTAATCTAATTTATAGATATTTTCATATTGTGCATTTTCCAAAGACACAGTTGAATTTTGTTAGAAAATTTGAGTTAAAAACTGGATAATAATCAAGAGATAGCTGTTGATTTTCTTAGTCATTCAGTTCAAAAATTTAATGTCATTACCTTTTTACTAGATTTGATTGCAAAATAAACACCAATATTATTAGCTACAGTATCCACAATGTTGCAAGTTCATTATAACTATTAGTATTCCATATTAATAGCAATAGAGCAAACTAATAATAGCAGATGTTGGGCAGCAGTACTTCATTTAAACATGGTCTATTAAATAAAATGGTTCTAGGAACATTTACTATAAACATTTTTGCCGTAGGAAAACTTTTTTAAATATAGAAAGTACCTTGTTATCAAGTATATTTGGCTCACATTATTGTTACTTTAATTTAAACATTTTAATAAGCGAAGTTATAGTATCAAAATCCTGCATCATTCATCCTCGTTAGTGAGGAGTGCAAAAATTTCAACTTGACACCAGGACCTACATCACACAATTCAGACTCATATTTCAGACTTAACATTAAAATTTCTGTTAACATATCAATCTGCCAATAATTCTCACTCAAGCAATATATATTATTTCAAACAAACTTACAACTTGAATATGCAACCAAATTCAATATAAAATATCTGATCAAAGAAAGATAACCCTTTCAAACTCTCAGTAAGTCTTTTGAAATTTACAGAAATTATTTGCAAACATAAACTGTCTTAAATTCACTATAAATACCTAAATATTGAAATATACTTTATATTTGAACATACATTATAACAACACCCCACCTTTTTGATCCAAAGTATAACTGACATTCAATTCATCAAACACAAAAAACATTTAAGCAATTTAAAATACCACCTTGTTATATCTTAAACTATTTAAAATTTCTTTATTCATTCAGCAATATTTTTTGTACAGCCAACCTATAACAGTGGTCTATCAAGTGGAAAGTACCACAGGCAGTGTGAAATTAGTTGACAATCTTAACTTTGTTTACAGAATAGATAGAAGATACAATGAAAAACATATTGGAAATGTGAAAATAAAGAATGAAAAGCTAGAGTGCATGCTGGAAAATGATAATTTATCTATGTGTAAAACATTTGGTGAGCATTGTCATCCATCTCTTACATCAAAACCAAAAATGTATGAAGCAAAAACAAAATTGAAATTAGTAGCCACTAATTCACAAACTTCTGCATGGTTGTTAATTGCAGAAATTTCATGATGATAATGCACAGTCTTTGCTACCAACTTCATTGCATTTGTCTCTCAATATTAGAGGTTGGAGGCAGAAGAAAAGCCAAGTGCCCCCAATCACAACTGGAAGAAGTGGGTATACCTGAAGAATATAGATTTCTTGAAAATGGCGAGAACTTTTTATTGTACGATAGTGGTGAAGATGATTCAGATAGAATTGTAATGTTTGGCACTCAAGCTGGGTTAGAGGACATTGTTAATAATAAAGATTGGGCTTATGATGGCACTTTTAAATGTAGCCCAGATATATATTATCAGTTATTCATGTTACATATTATCATAAGACAATATTAGCGTACTATATCTTTTTGTTTTGCTATCTAGTATATCACAAATATCCTACAGCAGACGTTTTAGCACCTTGAAGGACTTACACTCATCATTAGAGCCCGAAACCTTAATGGTTGATTTCAAGAAAGCAATTATCATTGCTTTCTGTGATATATTTCCAACAACAAATATAACATGTTGTTTATTTCATATGGCTAAGAATATCTATTACCACATTGTGGATATTAGTTTAAAGTCACACTATCTTACAGACAAAGAATTTAACAACAAAATTAAAAGCTTCATTGCATTAGCATTTCTGCCAGTGTGTGATGTTATTGATGGTTTTCTTGAACTGACTGACGATTATTTGCCCCAAGAATTTGTATCATATTTTGAAACTCACTATATTGGAGGAGAACAGGGTCAAGGTGAACAAAGATGAAGAATACAGCCAACTTTTCCTATTGAATTGTGGAATGTCTTTGAACGAACCCAGAATGTTCAGAACCAACAACAGTGTAGAAGGCTTCCACAGTGGAGTACAGAGCTCCATGACTAATGTGCACCCAAATTTGTGGAAACTAATTGCGTATTTGAAAAAGGAAGCAACATTAGTAAAAAAGAAAAGGTGTAATTTAGATCGAGGAGATGCAGTACAAATGAAGAAAATATATATTAATATCAATGCAAGATGTCAGTGGAAAATGCTTCATTACAGTCCAGTGCAAAAAACAGATTATTTACAAAGTATTGCTTGGAATTTACACACATTTTAAATTATTTCTTTTCTAACACTTTCACACCAACCCCTCAACTGCCAACGTCTTACTCTCTGGGTTGAGGTGTCTACTCTGTCTTAACTGAACTTAAGGGAGTGACCGTAGGTCCCCTGAGCATCCATAGATCATTCGACTGCACCACTGGTTTAATCCTGCTTCCTGCCCACTTTGTGTTTGGTTTTGATCCAGAAAGCAGAAGTGATGTCTGCCCATTCACGGTCGACTGAAGATGTAGACACGACTGGAGAGTCTGTGCTAAGAAATTTAGAATGCACCAAAAAAAATAAATATATATCTGCAGAAAGCCGGACAAACAATTATTCAATGGTTGAATTGTTTATATAGCAGAAAAGAATAGTATAGAAAAGAAACGGGTTACAGAAAAGAAAATTATTTGACGTAAAAAGAAAAACTCATACACTGGATTCTAGACAGAGAGAGAATGGTTTTGATTAACTTGTTAAATATGTCAGAACGATAAATCATCTATTGCGAATGGAGAGAAAAAGATTTCTTACATGCTTAAAGTTTATAGTTGCATTCCTCCACGGTAGTGGTAACAGTAGTAGTAATATTCATGGTAGCAGAAAAAAACTTATATTAACAGTACATGTTGGTAGGGTTTTGTTCAATCTTTGACATCATTTCAAATTATATCAACAAAATATGTTAATGGGCATTTGTTCCAATTTTGGACGTCACTTTCGTCGACATCTCTCCACCCAGCTCCATTCTTTATGGCAAGGCAGGTAAACTATATCTCTGATTATTGTAGCACTATATTAGATCATAAATATATTTCCCGGCACACAGGCGACAACAATGTGTTGACTTTTCATGCCTCTTCCATCTCACTCAACCATGAACCTCTTTTCTTGAATGTTCACAACTACGCGTTGGGAATAGATAAACCTGGTTGATCGCCAAATTGACCCCTTGCCCTGCACGCTGATTATAGAATGTTAGTATTTTTTTCAATCCAAAATCATGTGGTTTTCAAAGTTCTCAAAAGCTTTTGTAAGCTCTATTTCAAATTTTAACCAAGAAAATTTATTTCAATCATTTCCATTGTCTTTTTCATGACCCAATTCCAAATGGGCTAGATCAGATTTCCATTAGTAAACAAAATTGTTCTGATCTAATTTCGCAGTTCAAATCTACTCCAATTTCAATAAAAAGAAATATGTGTGTGTGTGTTTGTGTGTGTGTTTCCCAAACTCTCTCAGTTACTTTGTTAATTTGATATATTTTTAGTCTTTTATTTTTTAAATAAATGTTTACTTTTTAATTTCTTTTCTGTTTGACCCTGTAAAAAAAAAAAAGACATCCATATATACTTCACATATTGACCATTACTCCAAAAGGGATGTTCAAGATAAGAATATTGTGGGGAGGGGGTAATACAGCAAAATTGTCATACCGCAAAAATCCTATGGTGAAAATTCCTGAGGCGATTTTCTTTTTCCTATGTCAAAATTGTTTATGGCAAATGTTCCGGATATGTAAAATAAATAGATCTTAAAATTTAATCTTAGCAAGTTTGTATAGGGGATCTGTCTATTATCTTATCTTGGGTGTCTAACAAAAAATGGGTAACATTTATTTTATTTTTTATTTACTTATGTAGAGACCAGCAACTTGGTTGCTTAAAATAAAGACAACCCATTTCTTGATTATGTGCTTAGTGTTGAAGGAAAATGGCTCCTATATATGATATTTGAAAGCCTGACTTTCTTTGGGTTAATAATCTTACACTTCTCAGACATTCCACAACCAAATCTTCAGCCTGAAGACATCCTACTGACTGGTGGCACTGGAAAAGAATAATCTTGCAATCTAGTCAAATCATGACAGTCCTACTTTAATGATTTAGAATTGATACATCAAAAGTTGCAAATACTTTGGCTAATAGTAGTGAAGAAAAGTGGGGTTAGGGCTATCTCACATAATGCAAGACTTCATGCTTCAAAACCAGCAGTCTTCTGATACCCATGACCCCTGGTATTTATGATGGAACAAATTAACTGTTTGATTTTTTTTGCAAACTCATCTCAATTTTAGTGGTGCTTACTTTGACTAATAAAGTAGTCTTTGAGTCAGATTATGACATTTTAAAACTTGTGGTTAAAACAGCCATTTATTGTTCCAGGCTGGTAATTCTGTTGACATTTACATCTTTATCAGATGCGAAAATAGAATATCCAAGAGTGAGAATATGAATGAAAATTGTTGAAACTGCTATGATTAAAAGAAGACCTAAAATATCTGAAAAAGTAAAAGACACTGATTCATTTTCGCTTTCTCATTTCTGAATTTTTGAATACTAATGACTTAAAAAATAAACCCTAAAACTCCATTCCTACATAATAGGGAAACCTAAACCCCTAATGTAAAATTACTTTGAATATCTTGATTATCAAAATCACGTCTTGTTTGATACAAATGGATGGAAACAATACAAAAATAATTCTTATTTTCTGTATTTTTTTTCTACCTCTTATTTGCTTGTGCTTTGTGTTGTTCAGGTCTCCCTGATGAGAAAGGTAGAGTGGATATATTAAAAATTCACACCAAATTGATGAAGGAAAGCAACTTGCTACATGATAATGTCAATCTTGATGATCTAGCATCAAAAACCAAGAACTTCAGTGGAGCTGAATTGGAAGGTCTTGTTCGCTGTGCAGTATCCACTGCAATGAACAGTCTAATCAAGGTGATTTTTCTCTTAAATACAGGCATGTAGTCAATATTCTGTTTCTGTGTATTGCTGTTTCAGTGCTTTTTGTTGTTGTTGTTTTTTTTAATGGATGGCAGCAGTCTTCTACCAGAGAAATCATTTCAGATTCTTCTATTCTTTGTTCAATACTATCATTAATTCATAGTGTGATTGTGAGAGTATGTATTTATAGTTAATTCCCAGAAGATATTAATTCAATACTTAGCTAAAAAGAATCAACATAATTAGCTGGCACATGAACTGTCAATAAAAGTGAATCAATGATTGGAAGAAGTACTTTAAAAAAATAACACTTGACAAGAGATAATGTGATGTCATTGCTGTAAAGACCTTTTTTTTTTCTTTTTTTTTTTTTTTTTTTTTTTTTTTTTTTTTTTTTTTTTCTTTTTTTTTCTTTTCTGAATGTATATTTTGTTTTTTTTTTTTTTTTTTTCAACCTCACCCAATGCAAGACAGTAAAGCCACTAAGACACAAAGGATTACTGAGTGTAAAAGAAGTAGAAAACAGAAACATTATGAAGGAGCATGAACAATAGTAGAGTGATCAAGAATCTCTAAATATATAGCACAAGCACTAGACCATACGTTGCAGCAATATTCGAAACATGGATGAATGGTAGACTTGTAGATACAAGATTCTGGAGAGAAAAAATTGTTTAGCACGACAGGGTGAACCGACTTTCTTTGCAGCAGACCTAGCAATGGACTCAATATATTCTTTCCACTTCATGTCAGCCAAGAATGTTTTCCCAAAAAGGGGCAATGTTACATTTGGAAGCATCGTAGAAAAATCATGCACTAGTTAGTCCTTGGAAAATCCTTACACAATTATTGTCAGCTTTTAAAAATATCATTCTATCTAATTTAGAGCTAAAATTCAACAGAATTTCTTTTAGTGTAAGTTCAAATACTGACATCCCTTTTGGACCCTATTACTAAAATATCTTTTGACATCAAATTCCAATGGAAGGGAAAATGTTTATATTTAACATCAAGAAATGAGCTACAGTCTGACTATAAGTCTTTTAATAAATATTTATTTCAAGTGTACACAAGTATTCATGACTTAATTTCTGCTAACTGACGAACAAATATCTATGGCAATGCTAGTTCAGGATGAATAGGCTACAAGTTTTGAAAAAAAAACATTTAAACAATTTTTCCTGTATTAAAATCTCTTAAAATGTATTTTAGATGTATGAGTAGAATTTGAGACATGATTCCAAAGATATTTGATCTCAGCCACATTGAGTGTATAAATTAAGCACAGAAATGACAAGATTGCAAGCAACTTTTCCAATAAAGCTTTCAGTGCAGTGAAAAAAATCATCAAAATTTCTTTTGTCTGTGCTTAATTTATTGTTACTCTATTTTACAGGGTTCATCTCAAGTAGAACTAGCACCTGAAGATGCTGAAAAAGTCAAAGTTTCACAGGAAGATTTTCTCAGTTCCTTAGACGACATTAAGCCAGTAAGTATTCGTGAAAGTTAGTAAATGATTTGTTTATGGCACTTGAAATTTTTGTCATTTCTTTTTAAATGTCGTCTTGGATACAGTCATGATTTTAATTGCTTTTTCTGTGACTGATTTAGGATCAGTTATCATATATTTTATTCACATATAAAACACTAAAAATAATAAAATATTTTATTCACATTTAAAACACTATTGTTATTCTATGTATTATTGCAATTAGTGTCTACATCTTTGTTGTTTTTGTTCTTTCTTTAACATTTCAGCTATGTTAATCTGCCATCATTGTTTTATGTGTATGAAAGAACTTTCAGGCAAAACCTTTAAAAGCATTAGTTTCCTCATGCTGATAAAATCTACACTACTTTAAACAGATTTTGCTGTTTGAGGACCCATTTAGTAGGCCATAAATGGAAGACAACCTAACATAATGCTTTGCAGCATGTTTTCACCTTCTCATTTTTCTTTTAGATGTATTGAGAGTTGTAGCTTTCAATTTAACACAGGAAATGAAAATCATTCCCTGTTCATAGCACTTGTCTCCAACCACAGCAACTGGGAAATAGCTAACTTCTTGAAAGAGGTCAGGTCCTTTGTGTTCAACATCAGGAACAAGCTGAAGACCTTCAGCAGAGTTGTATCATTTATTGCCAAAAGTAAAAAAAAAAAACATCCTAAGTGGTCATTGTTTATTTAGCAGGTCAAGGATATCATCAGCTATGCCCCATTTCCCAGCAAGTTGATGAGACATTGCTGAGCAGTTTAAGATAGCAGAGTCCACTAGCAGACATGTAATTCACAAAGACATCAGATATGTCCTATGCTGTGTGGACAGGTCAATTAATGTTCAAGAGCCAGGACAACTGATAATCTGATCATGCTCCATCATTCCAAGGAGCTTAGTACACTCTGGTTTTTCTCAAGCACCAAAAGATAAATAGGGAGGAATGACATGTTGCTCTGTACAATAATGTACACAGTTCACATCAGCACTGCAGATCATAAGCAACAAGGGCTATGTTGTGCCACTTTTTCCTGCAGTGAATCAGTTAATCCCATCTCTGGAATTAATGTGTTGAACATTGTGGTCAATGTCTGGGTTGAGAGGATGACCCAAAAGAAGCCACACATATTCCAAAAGAACTCTACTTCTTCCAACCTGGCATGAATGATTTAGAGTAGCTGGCCAAGAATTTACCACCAGGTCACCCATAACTTAGGCTTCTTTGTTCTCCTGATTTGAATCCCTTGGATTCTGTGGCATTAGAGGGAGAGAGATCAACCAGTAGACCTGTCATGATGATATGGCACTAAATGTAGTAATGATAATGCTTACTGATTTTTGCCAGTTATTATGTTGCCTCGAATATTAGGGTTGTATTAGATTCTATGGTTGAGCTCGAGATTATAGTGCACTTCATCAAGTGGCTGTTGCTAGCAAATGGATATGTGGGCAACAATGCCATGATTTGATTAAAGAAAATTTTGAGTATGGTGGGAAAACCCAAAAACTAGGCCTTGTTGGCAAGAAGGGAAAAAACAAATTGGAAGTAAAATTATTTATATTACCAAAAGTTAAGTAGAATAAAAGTGGCTTAGGAAATTCCTAACAGGAGTCAATCTCTTTTTTTTTGGGAGAGGAAGCCTGACTGACATTTGTGCCTGTGGGTAAATCCTGGATGTCTGTACCCAGTGTGTGTGTGTGTGTGTGTGTGTGTGTATATATATATATATATATATATATATATATATATATATAACAATGTTTCTCCTTCTTCAGTTGCTTGGAATGAACCCTTTATTTTTGTCACTGGGGTAGACTTCTAGTTCCACATGCCATGTTTTAATGGATATCGATCCTGTTAATTTCTTTCTGAAAGTTCTCCACTGCCTTAGCTGAGTATTGAACTCAAACTCTTTAGGTCTTGTCATTGTATCTAATTAACGCCGTTATCCACTGAGCCTTGTGCCCTTGAAGACATCTATGTATGAATTTCTGGATATTATAAACCTAATGTTTTCAGCAACTATTTTTTAACAGAGCTCATATTGCAATTTTTGTTGTTATTATGGCTTTTCTCTGGCACTCCTTATTATTTTTGTGGCCTAGCATATGTGCTGATTCATGGTGGGACAATAGCCTGTTGATTAAAATGATTCATGAATTTGCGACCTAGCAAATTGTGTTCAACTCTTGGGCATGTTTGTGCAGACTTAAATTCATAGAAACAGGTTGAGGGGCAGTAATATTGTGAGCAGAACTATACACTAACAAGATGAGACATGGTCATGAACAAGAACAATTTATGAGCATTGATTCACTTGAAATTTTTTTAAGGTTACATTGATTCAAATTTGCTTTCCAATCATGACTGGATGGCACAAACAGGCCAAAATATTGGACAGCAAATAACAAAGATGAGTATAATAGATTCTGGAAAAGAAAATTGTTTTGGCATTAATGACCCATAAGGAGCTTGGATATGCTATTAAAGAATCTTGTGGGGAGAGTTTGATTCCACTAAAGAAAACAAATCTCTCTGATGATTGATCTGACATTTGAGTTTTGGAGGTGTTGAAATTAACTGCCATCACAGTCTTTTTAACTATGGACTGAATCATATTGGACATTGGCTGCCCATTTTGTCAGACTGATAAGCCTTACTATCGGGCAGAATAAATTGTTGTCATCAATGTGATACAAGTTGAAACTGGTGTCATCAAGAGGTAATTAGCTAGAAATTAAAAATAGGGTGGGACTAAGGATGGAGCCATGGGAGACACCTGCATTAGTATGTTACCTGCATTAGCTATGGCTTACTCTGGGAGTGCTTATTCTAGAAGGGAGCTTATTTTAGATTTCTTAGGAAAATGAGTGTATGTTTGAGAGTGGAGTGCTAATTGCATTTTCATCTGTTCTATGTACAAGGGTCTTTTAGTTATCATTTTCCCCCGTAACTTCTTTGTTGCACATTTTCTATCCATCGTATTCTATTAAATCCCCAAAAAGTTGTCAAATTAATTGTCCTTTTTAAAAAACCTGTTGGTTGAGCATATAAACAAAACCTGTAATGAAAACACAAAGATTTGCATGAATAATATGAAAGGCAAGACTTGGCTAGTGTATTTCTGGTTAAGATTTGATGTTGAAATTTTGTCACAAATTCAGCTTCAATATACCTATCTAGACTAGTTATCATGAGTGGAAAAGATGAAATTTGTTAAAAGACTCCCCAAACTAGATGGAAGCAGCATTTATATAGCTACGGGACTGTCGCACACAACTTAGTCACTTCTGTTTATATAGTTCAAAATTCATCTCCTAGGAGTCATTTTTTTGCTTTTTGGCTGTTTTAGGACATTAGTGAAGGTTTAGTGATTGGGCAAAATTCAGATTTATGTGCTGTACTAACTAAACAGTCATGGTAGTGTGTGTGTGTAAAATAAAATATATATATATATATATATATAAAGTTAGTTGTCTGGTCATGTGCCAGATAAGCATTTATTGGTTTCTGCCAGATATATTTTGATAGCTATTTTTTAATGGTGAAAATGTTTAGGCAAAAAACCACCTCAGTTTCTATATGGATACAAGATGGCCATTAGTGTCTTTGAACCCCAAATAGCAGACATATGTCTTTTTGATTGAGGAAAAGACTTTGAAACTTGAAGGTGTCATGATGGAGGAACAACAAATAATTGTTAATTGATTATTTTGCAAATATATTTGTTTTTAGATTGCTGTCTTGTGTGTCTCTCTAGTTGGGGCATGTTAAATGTTTAATGTTTGATCAGAGCATGAACATGTGACACCGAGTTGGTCCCCACATTAGCAAAGGTGAAGTGGATGGCTTGGACCAGGTGTCAGCAACCTTTTGCTGACTATGTGCCGACTTAGGGTTTTAAAATCATTCAGTGTTCCAATAGCATACGTATTTTTATACAAGTTAAGGTCAATATACCTGTTCTACAATATAGTAATATATACAATAATATGTAAACAACAGTAATAAAAATAAAGTGTTTTTAAAATTTATTTTTAAAGTTTTTATTATTAATGGGAGTTCAACGAGTGAGCAATTTTGAAACAGCTAAAAATCTTTGTGTTGTAGTAATTATTAGTTCAGACTTTGTGATGTCATTTGCAACCATGTGCCATTGGAAATTGCTTGGCTCGGGTATGGATCATGCTTTCACACTGATGAACAAATTTTTTTCAAGTTAAATTTGAATTTCCTAGAAGCAAGTTAGTCATTAAAATGCCTATTGTTGAAAAGGGTGCATGTGTGCCTTTATGGTTCAGTGAGGGTCTTCTTTGTTACTTTAGATGGATCATCCTGGGGAATTATCGGTAACAGGTTTAGTAGCTGGTCAGAAGTTGAACACAGGACTCTTGAGTTTATTCATTGCACTGGTTACATGGTGCATCACAGGAAGCTGATTCTAGTCAACATACTGCTTTCTGTTTTTTGTTTCCTTTTCCATTTTAGTAAATAATATAAATTATTCCTTCAGTTCGATTTCATTCTTTGGCTCTTGGTTTTTCTATTTTGTATACTTGATAGTAAATGGTTCATTTTTTTTTAGCTATGTGCTGTAAAAAGCTCTTTCCCCATTCAAAATGCAAGTTAAAAAAACTTTTCAGAAGAAATATTAAATTATTTTAGTGAATCTTCATTTACCATCATATTACTAAATTACTTGAGAAAAATATCAAAGGACCAACTGAAGGAAAACGGAAGATTTATGTCATGCTCAACTTGCAAAATGTGGAGGTGAACATGTCTAGAAAAAACAGCTTTTTAATATTATGGCTTTAACTGAGATTGAACACTAACCTTTGATATCACCTACACCCTTAACTATGTAACTGTTGATCCAGTAGAAAATATCAAGTTTGAATTTAAACTGAGACTGCTCCTGTCCCCTTTTGACTAAAACTGTTATGAATGGCATGAAACCATTTCTCCCTGTGTTGTCCTGTTATCAAATAG